CGAGAGATTCAGGTGGGTTCCAGGTGAGTCTCTCGAAAAAACCAAATTAGCTTGCAAATGAGTGTATATTCGCTGATTTCGACTTCTGTTCAGTTCATGTGAGGATTTGTTTGACAGGCCAACATATTTTGGTTAGTTGACTAAGCTGACTGAGCCGCAAAACTGCCCAATGAGTCGTTAGTTTACATTTGCCAGTGGTGAGTCCAGTCCATGATGCACCAAACAATCGTATTGTCCGGATTCCTCAAAGGGTAGGTAAAGTAGAAGCGAATTTGAGAAACCTTGAAAGGGTAAGTCCAAGTACACAAAGTCAGAAGAGAGGTACTCCTTAAAGTAGGTAGGTAAAGTAGAAGCGAATTTGAGAAACCTTGAAAGGGTAAGTCCAAGTACACAAAGTCAGAAGAGAGGTACTCCTTTGTGGAAAGTGGACTGGCGTCTAGAATAGATCAGAGTAGACTGGGACACACGAAACTTCAGGCGACCCCCACTTATGTACATATCAATAAGGAGGTTCTGTATTCATAAGTTCCCTAAGGGATCACGACACTCGTCATAGGTTAATAAAAACTGAGCTGAAGGTTAACCACGACGGTCACTGTGAGGGCAAGGTCTAACAGAAGCCTGTGGTTCACAACTCTCGTGCCACACTCTGGCACAAGGAATTCCGAACGCCAGAAAAATTCATCCAGGGATTTGTGCAATATACATTTTGATTACTTTTTCTTAAGTTCTAAGCAGCATTGCACAATTGAATGCGGAAAATGTTTTGATGATTGCATTTCGTGTCTACTTAAATCGAATTTAAATTATCCCCGTCAGACAGTGCCTGCGATTGGATGTGGGTGGGGAAATTTTGTGCACCATCACAACAAGACACAGTTTGGTCGATTAGTCACCAAGATGGGCAATCCATATCTATCCGTAAGCCCACGCTGGTGGTGGGCTTATCTTGTAGTCAAGTTCAGCAACAATCCGATGCTATTGGGGGTTCACGCAACCTCGGTAACTGGGCTAGTTTTCGCCTTTGATGTTACCGCTTGATGGGTGTGGTTTGAACGGAACCTCTCTACCAGCCACCAAAAGTGCAGACCGTTTTTTCACGCCTGGGTATGAGTCATCGCTGTGTTTTGGGAGTGGAGAGGTTCCCGCTGGTTCCCTACATCACCCTGATACCTATTTTATCACACTTTGTGCGTCTAAGAGACGATCCTTACATCCAATCATTAAGTTAGCCTCACGTTTGGCATGTAAAGTCACTTAGTGTCTGAATTTACAAACTGTTCACAATTTTCAGTTTTTTTTTCTGGTGGTAATTTACAAAAATGAACAATCGCTCTCGAAAACCCAGTTGCCACATCAAGTAACACTGGAGATGAAACGGTTTGAGCTGTATCTACATAGGAACCTGTCAGTGGGAGACGCCAGTCGGGTTAGCACAGTATGTGTGAGACGTTTCTTCCACGGGAGTTCTCTGGTCTCGATAAAACGCCACGATTGTTTGCTACTGCTCCTGGTACTGGCAACCTTCCGCTGAACAATTTCACAACCAGTGCCTGACTAGCCTATTTGCATCCATCTGGGAGGAAGAGATATTCCAGGCAAATGTGTTGAGTCGATAGTGTACTCATTTTCAAAAGAGGTCCTCGGAGTGAATGTAATGACTACAGCGGGGTTAGTTGAACTCCGATTGTAACAAGGCTTTTGGCGGCGCGCAAAACATTGACCTGTGATCATCAAGCGGGATTTCATTCTCTCCACCACACCTTCAAACCCCTTTAGGCTTTTGAGCAATGCCACATGTACAGACGACCTACAACCTTGGTAACCCTTGATTTGTAGGGCGCGTTCAATTACGTCGATCGATCAGTGCCTCTGAAAACCTTGCTAAACAGGGTACGCCTCAGAATTTTGTGAACATAATCCTATATTCACACCAATGTATGGTGAGCTCTCCAAAAGCTTCCCCACAAAACGTTGTGTCCGACAAGGTTGTCAGTCACCTCCATTCTTGTTCAATTTCGCCATTCATGGAAAAACCGATCCGAACGCTGAAAGGTCTTCAAAGACCCGGTATTCAAGTTGTCACCGGTGAGAACCTTGTGGAGCACGCAGTCAAGATCGTCCACAGCTATGAAGCTGAAATCACAAGCTCAGCTGAATAATCTGACCACGATCATCCCATCCTTTGGCATGGGCCTTGCACCCTCCACGTGCAAAATCATGCTCCAAAACGTGCAGTCTCTGAATGAGGATCACTAGAGGATTTGAAGAATTTTTTCACACCTCGGCAATNGTGTGTGGTCTGATTTGAGTGCAAAAAAAATATAGTTCTCATGGTCCAGCGAGTGGCGATGACCTGTACAATCATGTATGTGGCGAAAGGGTCGCTACAAAGTCACTAGCAGGCCTGTCCCACGCTCAATCTTTTCTCTTCTGTTCACTCTGAGGCTTTAAATATAGTTAGAAAAGACTGTGGTTGTACAGAAGTGAACCATCTGTGTCAAGAGTAATGTTACTATCTCTGATGATGGTGACAGTGGTTGCTGCCGGTTTTTTGAAAGGTGGATCCCGACTTTCTAACGATGGCGGCGTTATCAGTGTATACCAAATGAGTTGGTAAGATGAATTTCTTGGTAAATGGCACATTTGCCTACCATTCACCAAAAATAATTGAAAAAAGGACGATGATCCGTGTACATTTGAAACCTAGCAGCGTGAATCTACTTCACCGGTGTAAGTAGTAGTTGACTACCTTCTAAGGCAGCCACCATGGATGAGATGGCCAGCTAGATCGTAGACGGTTACGGATAGAAATCACATCATGCTGGCGCTGCCAGCATGTCTCGACTAAGCCACTTTGGTATGATTGTATCATTATTGGAAATTTCAGAATGTTCTTACAGGTTTAAAACACAAACACTGAAACAAGGGAATGACCTTGACCAAGTAATTGGAAGTAATTGGAAATGGGGAAATGGTTATTCGCATATACATGATCATATGCTGACAGACCTTTCGGTCCATTTGTGTTTTACAGACCGTCTGGCCTTGTCTGAGGGATCACGGAGTGACCGATCTACACGGTTTGGGTCGCCTAAATCGCGACGAACTGATCCGTATGGGAATCACGGATGCAGAAACGAGGGGAACGCTTGTGACTGCTGGTCAGATGCTCGGCAGCAGGTGGCTGAATGGTAAGTGCAACTGTATCACAATTATGCCATTCTACTAAATGTGAAACAACTCATTGTAATAGCATAAACTGGGACGCTTCATCATTCAGATTACTCTCTGATAAACCTCTCTGGAGAAACCATCTGAATGTACCAACCGGAATTGCTTCGCGCTGAGAAGTGGCGACTTCTAGAACTTTACTACTTTAGCTTTAACCAGGATGTTTTATAGGTGGTCTCGCACGTCTCCTCATTATCATTCTGAGAGTAATTCTTCTCTTTTTCTTTCTTTTTGCTGAAATTTGCGTCTTTGTTTCATTCCGTTCTTCTCTGTTCCGTCGTGTTAATTTTGAGAACGGGCACCGAGGGTTTTAACAGCCAAAATACTCTTCAACTTTCGAGATTTTTATTATAACTGTGTGCTTCTGGAGGACAAGATATCAACTTCACATTTTCACATTCATCATCGTCATCATCATCGTCATCGTCATCATCATCATGTCATTCATCAACATCACCATCATCTTCACCGTCCCCATCGGTGGCACCGTCAGCTGTCCGCCAGTAGTAAATGCTGATATTTAGCCATGAGGAATCATCGTCATCAACATCACCATCATCTTCACCGTCCCCATCGGTGGCACCGTCAGCTGTCCGCCAGTAGTAAATGCTGATATTTAGACAACCATGAGGAATATTGTGGTTTTTATTGCTAACAAGCATAAGTGGCCGCAGTTCTGTTTGTTGGGCTGGCGATTACGCCGCGTACTTTCCATCCCCGATCGAGTTGACATTGTCCGTGCGAATCGGGACGGCGCGGTGCATCAGCGAATGTGAAGCTGACCTCGGATACCGTTTGTTTGGAGAGGAAAAGGGTTAAGCTATTCTGTTCCTCACTTCGCGGGGCTCATTTTGCCACAATAACACTCTGCATAGTAGTTCCAAGAGCCGGCGAGTTGAAAAAGGTGCTAGGACGTTGGGAGAAATGTCCGAAGCTTTTGTGAATGCAGCATTCGTTTGATGAATTAAAGACGAATGCCATGAATTAGATGAATTAGAGACCAAATCCTATCGGGTTAAACTGCTTGCGAACTTTGCACATAGACTGTAGGGTGCACTGAGACGTAGATGGTTTTAAATTTGGTTAAATTTGATAAATTAGGGAAATATGCAGAAATTCATGCACTTTGTAACGGATCTTCAGTTCGGTTCGTGATCCTTTATTCTAAGGAAAATAGGTGGCCCCTGCCATCCGGAGAGTATAGTGGTCCTAATTCGATTTCGGTGCCCATTCCATGTGAATGAATGCGTGCTGAGCATGTGAAGTTGAGCATAACGATTCTTTAGTTCCAACTAATGTGGGAACTGACAAACCAAGAGGAATAATCGCACGTTAAATTGGTAGGTAGAAACTAATAGTGATGGTGGCACTTTATGACTGTTGACAGTAGGTGCTTTGGGTTTCACTCATGGAATGAACTACAACAGCAAATCGACTGAACTAAACTCAACAGCATTGATGACCTTATAGTCACGGACATAATTAGATTCTTTGAGCATGTTTTCACTTGAAATGGGATCACGTCGTCACCAACACGGTTCCAATAAACTAGTCTGCTAATGTGATCCAGCCTGAGGGATTCATCCCCACGTTTTGTTATAGAGAGCCAGACAAAGTTACAACGTAGCTCTAACTGTGTTCACCGATCGATGCATTTATTCCCATAAAGGCAGTTGGGATACTGTGCTGAAGTGCTTTCACACACTCGCTACGATTGGTCGAAATGGAAAAGCGTTTATTTCCCGGACCCCCGGAGCATATTCTATACACGGATTGTCTCCCCAATAGGGAAGTGGGATCCCATCTACGCAGAGGACCGCCCAAATCCATAGTTTTACATAACATCACATCATGGAAAAGTACGCCGAAGAAACACAGGGCCTGTGGCTGAAAGTGATCGAGCCCAGACTAAATTATCGATTTATCTCTGCTCTCCCATACCTGAGTCATCATACAGGTCAGTTTTCGTTGACCTGTAAACAGCCTACTTGCTAACCGATCTCAAAGTAGATTGACTGGCTTATGATGGAGAGGCATTCACCAGTGTATACGTGTTATGAACTTTTACGGCACGGAATTTAGGAGCAGAAAATTCCACCTTACGTTTACCACTATGGTTCGGGTGTGTGCACATGGACTACGAATGTATCTTCAGGAAAACTTCCGTCTTGTTCTCGATGCTCAAGTACACTAAAACCCCTGCGCTGATGACCAAGGATCTTTTCCAGATAAGATCCGCCACTAATGCAAAAAGTGTATGTGCGAAAAGTTAAGTCCCGCTACCTTTTGCCAGCTCTAATTTAATGTACGTTCACAACCTTGACCTATTTTTGAGGAAAACAATTCCTTATCCGCGTCTAGGCTCATTTTGTGCCTTAATTTCCTCCGTTCGGACGTAAATCATAAAATGAACTTTCTGACGCTTTCAACTATCGTTTATGACAACGCGACGGCAATGCGTTTTTTTGCAAAACCACGCAGTGATCCATCAGCAACGTTTATGCAACAATGGCCACCAAATGACACTTTCAACTGTTTCTGACAGGTGAAGGTGTAGTGCCCGGCAGTGTCGGCAACAAATCGGTCTTCGAAAGAGAACTTGACTGAAGCGGTCCAGGATTCAGCTTAGGACAGTAATTCTATTCACTTATTGCTGGTCCAAAAATTTGGCAAAAATCAAATTCGGCTCAGGCCTGCATCGCTCCCGGCCCAGTCGTCAACTCCGATATGTGGGTATCGTACCAAAGGAGTGAAACGGTGATTGACATGGAATATACTCATGAAACGGTTAATCATACCAAAAACCTTGTATGTCTAACGACTGGAGCTCACACCCAAAACATCTTGGCACGTCTACAAGATGCAGAGTAAACGCCAGTTCGGTACACACCGATCTTTAGGGGACAGCTACTTGTGTGAGTTCGTTTGGAGGCAAAGGTACCGAAAAACGGACCTTTTCATGCGAATCATTAATGATATGTCCCAATTTCACCCTCTTCAATAAAAACTAAGAGTACGATTTTCATATCCTCTTTTTTCTAATCATTTTTGGGTGGCGGGGGTTAATTTTTTGGCGGGGCTTATCTGGAAAAGACCCATGACCAATAACAGCTTGTGAGTAACTCAGCGCCATCCTTTAAGGCCATTTCCACCGAACCGAAACATATTCTTTTAAAAAGTGCCAGATCATTTCAACGTGACAAATGTAAAGTCATCTCAGCGTAAGTCTTTGTGTATACGTTGATCACACCAGTGTCCAACAAAGTCCTTCATTTGTCACGAGTCGTCGTTTAATTCCTCCAGGAGTAGATCGTCATCAAAGAGAAAACACTTAACTCCTTCCCACATATGACTGTCTCTTCTGGGAGAACAGCTACAATGTGTTGGTGATTCCCATCAACCAATGAAACGTTAATCAGTTTTCTGGGAAAATATATGGTTGAATTTGAACGGTGGTCAACAAAGAACTCAGTTTTTTCTGTAACTAGAGTGAGGGGGACGCACAGTGTATATGACAAATGTCGTCCTTTTGTTTTTGAATTGCATTTTTCGCTCCCTACGTTGAGTACAGTACGCACCCCGGAATGCAACGAAATACATACGAATGACTGTACAAAACTCTTATATTGTGTGCTTTGTCTGAGTGCGTTTAATTGCCCATGTTTCAATCTAAGTTCAAAACGTCTTTAACCTTCCGCCTTCTTTTTACCGAACAATTTCCCTTGGGCTTAGCAAATTCCAATCCACCACCACCGCCCCCACCTTTACCAGTTCCACCCACTCCGAAACGTACATTCATCGGGCCGAACACGGAACCACACCAACAGATGGATGGAGCGCGTTTGACCGAGAAACAGGCACTGCATGATTCTGGCTGTTCCAGTAGCAATGAATTTAGCGGAGGCACGGCAGGTACATGTAGAAACGTTACGTTCGACTTTAGTTCAGCGAACCAACACAGCAACACAGTTTTTCGTAATCCTGGGGACCGGTTTTGGCCAGTGTCAACTACAATGGTTAAAGACAGTCTACAGACGATGAATAATATGCCACCGATAGAACCGAAGTGAGTTTTACGTCCTCATCTGCCACTTGTTACTTATGATCATATTCATGGAATCATAACGCAGCAGTTTGTATAGAAGCCTTGTAGGTCTTTTTACAGTGTATGAGACCCCATCATCATTAGAACCTAGGGAAAAACAACAAGAAAATGCGATCTTTTCGTGGAGTCGTCGAATAGCCGTTGTTGACTTTCGTATTCCTGAAGGTCTAGTGCAAAAAGCGAGAACAAGTACAAGATGATGTCGGAGAGGGTTGGAACAAACGTAATTGCTTCCATTCGACACCATTCTTGTTAAGCAGTGGATGAATGCTACACAAACGATAACGACTTGTTGGTTGTAGCATTATAACTAGCAAAACAACAAATTCTAGGTTTTAGAACCGACGGAACCCCATAACTGCTGAAACTGCACATCACGTGAACGAATTAGACATCAGATTTGAACGTCCCAGCCGATCGATAAGAGTTACCAAGGTGCTATTTCGAACGACCTAACCTGGCTGTAAAACTGGGGTTGGGCTAATTTGAACTGTTCCAAGCTTTCTCATCAATAACCGTGCTTTAGGTACACCAACACTCTAGCAGTCCAGCAGACCAAGTATTTCCATGTTTAGTGTAGAAGGATCACAGTAGGCCAAACAGACCACGAATCACGCGACTTAAAACTGGGGCGGGCGAATTCGTCAGTCATCCCAGTGTGAACAGGAGGCACACAACCGACGAGTGTGTCGAGAGCGGTTTTAACTTAGCCGAAAAGACACCTGGCGGTATGCACTAATCAGTGAAGACGAGTGATCGGCACAGGAAACTTAGATCTGAAATGTGTAACCATAGGCGAACAAAAGTCTACTTGATCTCACCTCCTGCGAATGAAGTTTCGCAGGACTTATAAATCAACACAGACCAAGAAAAACTGTGAATAGTGTTCAAGAGCAATCATCAGTTGCAGTTTGTTGAACAGGAATTCCAAGGCCACCATGCAGTCCAGCCAATTGATTTGGACAATTGATTTAGGCACCTACCAATAAGAGGTTTCAACTGATACTCAACTCTGAATCATTGTGCTGGTCAAGAGGAATTACGTCCTGAAAGTGAAGGCGTTGTGTTCAGAAAAGATGAAAAGCACTCTGGGATACTGTGATGAGACGAAACAGCTGTACGGTGCTTCCCAGCGTTCACTGTAGCCTGAATTCCTGAATGAATGAAACTAAATGCCGCTGAGAAACCTTAAACAGATTAGAAATAAGACTAGTTTTCAAGTTGGTTAAACTTTCAACCTGAAAAGTCCTCACTCAGTCGCCACTCCCGACCACGTGATGTGATTTCCTTGATTGAAGGATCATTGATGCCACATCCTGCTCAAGGGCGAGTTAATCACACTGTAATCAGTCAAATCACACTGCTAATCAGTCACCGCAGATTGCTGTTTCGAAACTCAGGGATGTTTCGTGAGATGCGCACTGCCGATGATTCCCAATGAGGATGAAACAGCGGTACAGTGCTTTTCGGCTTTTCAGCACAGATTGGCTTCACTTGTAGGGAGAAATCTCAGATGAAGGAGAGTTTGCAGGTCGTTTCACCGTCTGTTTTAACACCCAGTAGATCTAATAACCTGACGAAATTTCCGTGTCAAAAGCAAAACATTTTCAGCGATCAGTCAACCGACTGTGTACCAAGCCCATCTCCTATTTAGCACGAAGGGTATCCCTTCATATATTTATGTGCACGTGTTGTTTACAAGATAGAGCGTCCACGATCCGTGAATGGCAAATCGTCACCGGCTGTTCTCTTACTGACCCTAGAAGTGGGTAGCCCGCCCATAGACAGTAGTTGCACTTTACAAAAATTGTCCTGTTTTCTCAAGATCACTCTATGGCTGGAATAAAGGAGTACACGATAAGCTTATAGATACCGCAGATAGATGCTACCAAGCCGAATGTGAGTAACTACCTTCCACCTCCTTGACAAACGTCATTTGGAAAGATCACGCGCTCGGGCGTTGTTAAAATGCGACCCTCCCATGATCTTCACAGATGGGTGCCTTTGGACGATTGGCAATCATTTCCGGCCAAATGGTTAGTCGCCAAATACCGCAAATAGTTCCCATGGGTTGCTAAAAAAACACTGATGTCCTAAAATTTCGTTACGTTCTTCTCTAGGCATGGTTCTTACACATGTTGGAGAAAGGACGCTGTTGTCAGAAAAGAAGGAAAGATTACATACTGTGAATTCGTACTATATGGACGATTTGCTACCAAATTCCATAATGGTTAAACATCTCTGCGAAGACCTGAACCTCGACAGGTACTCTTGTTTAAAGACTGACAGCAAGCTAGTCAATTTGTTCTGCTGCATACAAATTCCTGTAGGGCTTCCAACCACGTGCAAGAAGAATCACGAAAATCCTACTCAGGAGGGCGCACGGTTCCACAGCACTCAACTTGACAGCATCAGCATTCATTTCGCATTACCTCGTATTGGTCTGTCACCTGGGAAGTGTTCACCACTCAGAGCCATTGCTGAATTTCTCGGCACCCACAGGAACTCGATTTTTAAATGACATTGAAGGAAATGAGGGAAGAGTCTATTCCTAGAGTTCGGCTGAAAAACACGATCCAAAGGCCATGGAACACATTAGAGAAGCACGTATCTTTGTAAACCCTTTGAACAGAAACTTTGAAAGTTACTTTATAAGAGAAAATTTAAAAAGTCACCGTGCACCCTTCTCTTTGACGAGTAAGACCTCGTGCCGTGGGTGGTTGACAGTAAGTTTCCAAAAAGAGATGTAAATTTTTGAGAGGCTCTTCTCCGAGGCAAACAGGTCATATGAGAAGTCGCTTATCTAGGAGACAATTCCAGATTCTTCTCCCTCCCCAAATAACACACCAGTATAAATAGCCGTACTTTGTGGATTCTTGGATGTATAACCTGAGAAATAATCTTAATCACTTTTTAAATTCCAGTTTTGGTGTTTTACGGCAATGCTCACAACCCTTCGCAGTGCCCACAGTGTACTCCCACAGTCCTGCCAGGACTGCATGTCCGTTTGACAATTCGCCCGCGCGCACTCTGGTGGATTGTAACAGAGACGCATCGGATCAATATCGGAGTCAAGGCCACGGACAACCGAATTCTGGTTACTCTGGCCGGAACGGGCAAAGTACGTTTAATAACCGGTGTACCAAAGAACAACTGTTCTACGGGTAATTTATAGGCTTATCAATAGGGTTTGTTCGCGTTTTTTAGAGTCAGCCACACGACTCGTAAAACGTGGATCCCGTTCCAATGCCAGTGTTTTCCAAGATCGTTCCCCTTTTCTCTATCTGTTTTATTTAGTGTGGTCTGTATACAAGTTGGTTCGACACATAGGTGTTTCAAAGATGTTTTATAGGTGTTTCAAACTACGTTCACGAAATACTCTAGGGCTTTCTAAACTTCTAGCAATTCGTTGTAATTCATAACAAGCATGATATGTCTTCTTTTCAAGATAAGCTACGGTACGAAATTAACATTTGATCGTATCATTTGGCAGGTTCAAGCATACTACTGGAGCACATTCACTTACCTTTTTTTCTTTGCGATGGGTTTCCATTGCGTTTATCAGGTTCAACCGTGGCAGGGGGCCAAAGTGATGGAAACACACCCAACGTGAGTGACATTCGTTAAACGTGTCGGACTTTCCGTGTTAGTCTAGCTGGTGACCAAACATGAAAAGATCTCAATCTACGTACATTCCCAGCTCTCCTGTCAAGTGAAGCCGACTCACTCCATACTCAGGAACAGGGAGTTTGTCCAGGAACTGGTAGTGAATCGGTAGTGTTATGCAGCGTTATAAAACAGAAACGAGAATTCCATAATATTGTATTACCAGTTGTTTCTTTCGAGATTAACTGTGGGATTGATGTCTACCGAAACTTTATCCATCCAGACTGCCTCAAATACGGAAGATTCAGCTGTATTACTACTATTTTTATTATTAGATTAGTACTGTATAACCACTATAGTACTCACGGTAAAGAGCTCTCCGACCTGTCTGGCATCATTCTAAACGTTCGAATGGCTACAAATTCTGCTATAACGGGAGCTGGTTCGAAATTTCATGTTGTTGTTGTCGTTGTGTGCATTCAACCCAGATGCCGACACAAATCGTCTGGTAACTATGAGGCCTGCTACTACTGAAAGGAAGAAGGCCCTCACTGCGGAGTTATTTTTTAGGAAATGCCAACTGACCGGTTACAGACCATTAGACAGGGAAGCGAAACTCTCATTTGCATCTTATTTACAAAAACTGGACTTCCATCTTCTGCTGAACGCGCCTTCTTGAATGTTCCCGGATATTCATTGACTCCAATCATTCGTTGCTCAAATCCAAGCAGATGCTACAAAACGACTCCACAAATTCCGCAAAAGGTCGCCCTTTTCAAGAGACGCAAAGCGAATCTCCAAGATCAACACATACTACTCGCATGCCTCCTTATCAGTAGTATCACCGTTACACTGGTATCAAATGGTTCGACTGAATGCTGAAAATGGATGTTCCACCCTAGAAGATGCGTTCCTTTTAAGTTTGGAGACATCGGCTGCAAACTGCAAGCTGATAGGGAAATAATACTATACAAAGGCACTACTAATTCATATTCCGCTGATGTTAATGGTGGGTGACTCGACTGGGTTCCATTGTTATAGTGAGCCTCAAATGAATGCGCAGAGGTTGCAGCTAAAGCTGTAACTGAATGACTAATTTCACTTGCGGGCAGTTTGTGCCTAGTCAAAGTAATGGAAACTCGGGGAATACGTCAAGCTGCTAAGCTCAAAGTAGGTCAAAACTAGTGAGTGGTTGTCGAAGAGTTTTCATCAGTGGTCGTGTTTTGTTGGAACTTCGTTGGTGGGACACAATTCACAATCTTCGAAGCATGTGGTAAGTCTATGTTCAAGATGAATGGTAGCTGAGGTCAGTGCATCCAGAGAGACGGAAATGTCACTCAGAGCGGTGGAGGTCCTTCCTTTTTCCAAATATTTCTGGTTCATTACAGGGGAGTTTCATGCATTTAATAGTTCTTTCGATGAGGAAACACCAGTTTTCAATAAGTTATGCGATATGTACGTCGATTGGTGTATTGCAGTTGCGATTACAACCTTTTTTTGCACTCCATCTGTCGCACATGGGCCCACCCACTAAGTATCAATACTCTCCTGTGTAGCATGTTCCGGGTTGATAAGCTTTTCGCAAGTTTACTGCCATTTGACAGTTTACTTCCATTTGACAAAATTTCCAGTGTCGCATATTTTATGTGAAAACGAACGCACAAAGACTTTTGCTTCGTAAGATTTATGAAAACAAAATGATCTCGGACGATTGAGGACTGCAACTTTTGCCCTGCTTGAAGGTCCACGATAACTCAATCGGAAAATGATAGACCATATCTTGTGTCGACCTTACAGTTCACTGACAAGGGTTGCCGCCACCCAGAAAAAGCTCTGCTACATTTGTCTCACTCGGAACTCAATGGGCCAGAGATGCCCAATGCCGACTTCCACAAATGTTTAACAGCCTGGAATACCAGCGGAATACCACTGATTCAAAACAAGCACAGCGTCCTTCGAAGCAACACGTCCTGGACAATCAGCTGACCGTCATTGTATACATAGCGATCCGCCACAGTTTTCCCCGAATAGGTGCCTCCCTCTTAGAAACGGCTTCATTGCAGTCTCACGGATTTCCATCACTATTTAATTATGGTGAACCAAGATCTTCAGGAGACAGGTTTAGCTCCACTACTGACTATGTTCGGTGGATATTTCTGGTGCCCCTATTTAGAGAGACAGGTGACTATTTTCGCAGAAGAGGCTGGTTCAGTGACCTGTGAAATACAGCAACCTCGAGGTCTACTACAGATAATAAACTTTACGGCAGTTAAGCCATAATTTCTAATCAAAATTGTGATTACTTGTAAGTAGTCTGGGCGCTCACTCGTGTGATCAGTGATCCAGTCACACATCTCGGATCGTTAGGGAAATAAGGTTTTTCTGTCTTCAAACGTGAAATGAAGGTCGCTCGGTTCAGTCGGGGATACTGCTGAGCTACTCATAAGTTGTCAAATATCACCTATGCAAGGATTTCAGTATGCTTGACTATGGATGGGAGATTTCACCTGATGTTTCCTGAAGGGACTCTCCTACTTCATGCACGTCTCATTCCGCAACCCCCTGGTAAACGTAGGGTGGATTATTTTGCCTCTGAATGCCTTCGAATGCTTGAATTTCACCGCAACAGTTCATTTCACCTATGTATTGCCTAGCTACGTTCCATAATAAAGCACTTTGAAAACGGTTGGCAAGTAGGCGGTTTGCAGGCTATCTCAGATTGGTTACTTTGACGATTTTGGCGTGCAAGTAGAGTGATGTGGTTAGACTCACCTAGTTTCAACCAAGGACTGTGCTTTCCTTAGGCACCCGTAACAACCGTACAACCAATCGCGTTCGAATGCGTGGTTATAACATTTGACCAGTATGACAATACTGGTTCATCGAGGAATCTGCGTTAACTACTCTGTTGTATTATTCACGTTGCGATAGAGCTTGGTGGGACCGGTGTAGCAGTCTAAATGAATCTGAAGCAGTGAATGGTGAGAAACGAGCAAGCGAATTGAGACTGAATTTAGTCTCAGAGTATCTGCTTCAGATAGGTGGATTTTTACGAACAAATAAGGCATTTAGCCTGAGTAGCAGCCCACATTTACCATCGTTTTTCAGTGATCAGATAAATGTTATCATGACATACCACTAAGTATACCTTATATTCCACATATGTATTCATATATACAAGTGATTAGGTAGACAACTTAGGATCCATTAGGAATTTTGTTGGTCACCGTGAAAAGGGTCTTCCCATCCTAACGGGAACACTTAATAGCACTCATTCGTGGTCTCTAATTTGATGGGACAGTGCATTTTAATGTTCTACTTTAGAAGCGTGACTATGCTCAGGTCACATACTTTCTAATTTGCTGTGGATCGCGGAAGTATTCCTCATACCACCTAGAAAACGTGAAAAAAAAACGAATTTACTCAACATAAGAATGATTCTATCATACTTTTTTAATGTTTTACTAAATGAACACTATAGTTTTAAAATGCTGTGTCGCTGTGACTCCAAAGTTTCGACCCATTCTTAGTGTTAGTCGCTTTTGGGGATGACTATCATGTGTTGTTTCTAACGCAATCCGTGGCAATTTTTCCAACGACGTTCTCGCATAAAGGACAAGGAAGCAGATTATTTAGAAACGTTAATAATTCCATACGTGGCCCAGTTGAAGACGTGCCACCATTTAAAGAGACCAAATAACCGGACCGCGTACGCGGGGTGATCTTCCAAGTGAGGCCGTATTACGTAATGTACTTTGCGAAACAGATGCATGAGTGGTCCGTATAAGTTCACAGGAAATCTACCATTTTCTGACATTTTTATTTATCACCAAATGTGTCCATCTTTCTTTACAATGCTCTCCCTTGAACAGAAAACACCTGTCGGCATATTGAGAAATGCTCGTGAAGGTCATGACTCTACACGTCAGCCACATTTAGAAAAACGAGCATCTTCGACCGCTCCAAAGTGTGTAAAAATTGACGAGCGATCCTTGCTGACATCGAGACAGATCAGCGACCCGGCTTCACTTCAAGACCACTCACAATCCATGCTCGGACGTCGCCTTACGATAGATGCGTCAAACGGGTGTCACTTTTTGCATCAAAACAGCCCATTCCTATTCACAGGAAGAACGGCGTGTCCTCTGACACAGCAGGAGCAAACGCTCCGAATGTGCCTGCAAAGTGAAGGGATAGATTTAACGCAAAAACCATATTCCAATGAGGTAAGTGGCAGCAGAATCATAGTCATATTGCTCGTATCATGCCGCTTTTTTAAATCTCGAAACGACAAATTTAGCAGAATGGCCTCCTACCTACAATCCAGAGAATAACGAAATGGGGGTTGGTCACGGGATCTATGGGATTCACGTTCACGTACGTGACCCTTTTTCGATCAGTTTTCATCCAGTCCTGTTGCCGAAAATTTGATGAGCTTGCACAAAGAGAGGAAGTACTGGATTCGTTCGTGCGTCGAGCCGACAAGTCGTATCGTTCGGGCTTGAATAGGTCAGCCCGTTCAGAATGTGTAATACAGGTTCGTCCACAGTGCACTGGTAGATCAGTGGTAACACATCCTCATCACACGTCAGATGTACGGAATTCAAATCCCGGCACGGCCAAGAATATCCACAAGAATATCCGCCGCTGACGACCTTTGTTGACGGCTAACTGGAATATAGGGCTGCATCTATTGGTTGTGAACTCATCAAACCGCTGACGACCTTTGTTAACGATGAGCTGGAGTTCAGGGCTCCATCTATTGGTTGTGAACTCATCAGTGTTACTACGCCTAGCGATGGATAAGGACTGCTCATAAATATAAACCGTGATGCTATTACAATTTTAGGCCCGAGAAGCAAGGCTGCAACGAATTTGAGGTCAGTTTGGAGTTAACACTCACAAAACATTTTACCGTGTACTAAGGGCGTGCGAAGCGTTATTATGAACATTTCAATGATGCAATCGATAGCTAATCCTGAGCAGCTTCTACGCCTCTTACGCGATCTTTAGGGAATTAGCAGTCAGTCGATCGTTCAAATCGTTTGAAAAGCTTGCCAACGTCATGACACCATCTGCTTCTGCCAGTTATTTTTGATCTTCTACAGTACAGACCTTGTGCCACCGAGTGTGTTCAGAAAGATCCGAGCACTGTTGAGTCCGAGTTGCTGGACCCTTGTCAACAAAATAAGAGATCCCATCCATGGGAGTTCCCATGGATTTTCCCGGTTAGAAGTTTAGATTTACTCTGTAAAACCATCTAGGGAATTTGACAGGCTGTTTATACGCTCTCATTCGACTATTGGCTAATAATCACCATTCCCTACAGCTTGGATTAGTTCATCTCCAATTCAGTGCGTGCCAAGTGTTCAAGGGTGGCGCTTCTTACAGAAATATTCATTTCTAGATAGAGAGAATCATTGTTCTATTGAACCTGGCTGCATGACTAAAATACCCGGTAACGGTTTTGCAATTTTTTCGAACGTCCGAGTAGACTGTGAGCTCCTTTCATCAATGTAACCGGTTTTTGATGACGTTCACTTGGGGGTGCGGTATTCCACATTTCCTGAAAGTACAAGTTTGTGTTACTAGTGCGAAAGTGTGATCTGGAAGATGACCGCTAGGTGTCCATCAAAGTGACTGTGACCTTGCGCAATCAATCATTAATCAATCAACACACTAGTTGTAAATCTAGCCCAAACGATGATCGGATTACGATCATTCACTTTCACTTCGAATTGTTGTATCAGCACGAGTGGTGAGTTTTTAAGCCTTGTTTGGCCAACTCCTCAAATTTTCGTCAAGAAACAATACCAGCGAACAATCAGCCTTGGTCGCAGTTGAAAAGTCCTTAAAGGTAGCTGCTTAGCGAATAAATCACGACAGACTTGGGTTGCCTGTGTGTGGAAATCACTGTTGAATGTCCCAATGAATATGGCTGATGACACTTTACATGTATACATGTTATCACAGTCATGATATACCTAGTCACTTGTTACGATTCAAACGTCAGGAAGGACTACACTGATTCATATATTGGCACTATTGTAGTAGTATACCACAGACTATCCTTTTTTCCCTAGCTGTTGGCTCAATCCATTGGGACTAGCACCCGTGGCAGAGGTACAACAGTCTCGATCAGCAATTTTTTCCTGAATTCCAGCTGGTTGATAAAAAACCTATCCTAACAATGGTACAGTGATTTAGATTTCTGACACAAGCGTGTATTCAGCGTGCTGCAAACTGTAGGAACATCAGGATTTTCAAACCCAACTCCTGTCGCCGATTCCTTGCCGTTCAGGAAGCTCGAAGTCGATGGGAAATCGAAAAAGCGACTGCAACAGACACTAGGACCGTCTTTGTTCTGGACCAATCGGTTCACGTATTACTTTGTTTGAATTGGCGAAATTTAGTCATGGTATGATTATTATCTCTACTTTAGTCTTTCTGGGAACGTGGGATTAAAATATCACTAGCAAATACACTACTTTGTTTAATGCGGATAAGTCAGACTGACCCAGGTAAGGTCACGGTAAAGGTCACGTCAGATGTCTCAAATACGGCGTTACATACCCTGGAATATAGGGCTCTTATCAACGATTCTTGGCCATTCGATGTTGAGCAACTCGATGGCTTCCTCGTGATCTGAAGGTTTCGTTCAACCTAGAAATTCGTCTTCAATAAAGAGTTGGGCGGGTGTGCTCATTGGTCACTGTTTACGCGAACGACGTGGTAGTCATCGATACACAACAGATGTATTGGTCATGTGACTGGTTCGTTCTCACTGAGTTTACTCACTGATGGTCGTCTCTCACTGTCAGCAAAACTGATAGTCCAAAAAATAGAGGGGCCCAACGGATGCAAGAATGGAGGGCACTAGTCTTGGAGTTCTAACAACCGCCCGGTCGAAAACAGCAACTTTTTTTTACCATAACCCTACTTCAAGTACATGGATGAGAGATTGTTGGTCAACAGTTGATGGGTCTCTTCGGAAATCAAGCCCAAGCATAGTATGCCAGTTCGTCGCTGAGCCAGAGTGCACCGTTAAATCAATACGCGTTGATACTACCACCTGGGTTGGTGACAAAAGTTTGCAACAACATCGCCAGGCTCAACAAACAACTCCATTCACCATTGAGCTGTCAGGTTTCTCCTATAATCAAACCCAGAATTTACAAAATCATTGCATTAGTCTACTTGCCCCAAAACTATCATAGTGGAATCTTCCGATGATATTTTCCGTTCATTTCACCCCAAGGCATTCATTAATCACTTCACTAAGTTTTCGCGACTGTATGGATTACATCTTGATTGACACTTTTCCACTCCTGCCTCAAAACTAGCCGCCATCTCTGTCTTTGGGTTGAGATAAGGTCACACCTCTTTGCACTTTCTGTCAAATCTTATTCGATAGAGATTAAGCCTACAAGTTGACCGTCTCTCACCAAAAGACCGAATGAAAGCCAGCACTTCATGTTATGACAGACGCGTGCGATATTCTACTCAAATGTCTCACAAGTGTCCAATCATAGCAACCTTTGGCTATGTCAGGTAGTCAGTCGTTCGAATGCAGTATAGCTATTGTTCAAACTGTTAGTCAAAAATGTACTGGAAACAAAAATTATCAGGTTAAAGTCACTTCATTCTTGATCCATATATGTGAAGATTCTTCAGAGTTGTAGTGAGGAAGCAACTCCATTGTTGACTGATATCAGAAGTATCCAAAGTGAGCCATATACGTGTATTCATTCATGTTCTCGTAATTCATCATTCAGATCGCTTTGCGTGTTTTTAGAACCTCTCATGGCCACATTCATACTGGAAACTAAGTGCCAAAATCTGATATGTTCACGCTTGAATTTGACGTTCTCTCAGACGTGAAAACGAACATATTTGCGATTCTGAACGAGTAATAAGACTCTGCTTCAACAGTCAGAAATTGATCGACTAACAATCATGAGCGAACATCGGTCACCAGTGGTTGAAAAGAACAGCGTCGCTTTTTGCGTCTCTCACAGATGGATTCTATTGACTGACTTGTAACCCGTTGCGATCCTCGAGCTCAAAATATTGCGACGAGTGTGGAAAACTGCAAACATTAGACGGCCACTAAAAACTGAGTTGGTGGCCGTCTGATACAAGAATGGGGCAAGTTCAGTCAAAATGTCAAACGCATACATCCGAAAACACACGACTGAGTTAGGAGGTTGGTATGCGGAAAAATGATCAAACCTCCGTCGAAAAGACGCAACAGTTGAATGATCTTATAACTTTCTCGCGTTCGTTGTTCACTTTTTGACGTTCTTCGCCAGAGTTGACGTCCAACGAGATTTGTCCCTTGTCAACCACTAATCACCTTGATTAGTTCACCACAAATGTGGTAATGGTGGAAAATATTACTGGCCCTATACTCCTTTCGCAAGGTGTGGTACTGAGAATATGGGTGTGGAATGCCGTGTGTTGTACGACCAGTGTGATTAGCGGCTCGTGTACTTTTCCAGGAGATTTCTTCGTTCACGCTAGGTGTACTTGGACATCTTATTCTGAGATCAATGAAGGTGTTTCCTTCTCACAAATTCTCAGCAATTTCTGGTATTTTGTTGTGACTTGATGTACGGTAGTGCAACTATGTATTGGCTTCCTGCTCCGCCCACTATGGTATATCAAAAGGCACGGTAGCTCTACGACGCCCTTTATGGAGACAAAGGAGAATTATTACAACTGTATTTATAAGGTAGTTATAGTGTTCCACAAGGTCGTGCCAGAATATCCGTGAGGGGGCGAGATGCGTCGAGTCAAAGATGCTCAATTCGGGTTGGCTGGCATTCTGACCAATCAGGGCGTGTTCGTTTGATCTGTGTCCTGCACGTGACATCCGTCCAAATGATGCGATCTTCGGTTATTAGGGACGGCTGGTCTCCGAACATATTCTTTATTCAATCACAGTACAGCTTCACGCTGAATTACTACGTTTTTTGGTTCCAGCTTGAACCGAGCAAATCGGTACCAAAACATCCCGTTCCTAATCATCTTGGTGATTAGGGTTGATTTTATAAGTTCGCCACATACTCCCCGGTCAGTTTATACCGGTGAGTTCGGGACAGACAAGGTGAGATCTTCTCACAGACACTAACAAAATCTGGTCTAAACACACCGGAATTTCCACCGTTCTTGTGGAAGACGTCTTCTTGAATCTACCGGAGGAATAAACTGGAGAGAGAAGCAACATAGCCCTAAATCAAAGGATGGCGAACAATGGTCCAGGGTGTATAAATCACTGTTGACCTTGACCCGCTTCTGGACACTTCTGATATGGAGAAGTCACGTTATTCTTAGCACTTTCGATTACGGTATACGAAGACCAGGAGAAAACAGAACAAACCTGTACGGTAGACTGTGAAGATGTAGGTCAGTCAGTGCTTAGATTTGTTTTTCTAAATTGTATCGGAGAGTAGTGGGAGTGGTCATCAGTGCAACCAAACGAGCGTGCACAACTAGTACGCTTGTTGTTCAGAAAGGGCCCATTAGCTTATCGGAAGTGAAACCTGAGTAGGCACATCCGGTGCAAGTCAGTAGTGAGGCAAGCGAAAAGAGGGGGTTGCCACCGATGATGTAAGAAATCCACTACACTGAAAAGCATTAGCTAAGTATGAATGATGTGTCTCGCACGAACGATTCAACCGTTTCGTTCACTTGTGGCAAGAGAACCATAGCAAAATGCTACCTGGTTGCGTGTCTGGCTGGTCATTTGTGGTGGTGTGACTGAATCCGGAAGTGCGTACCGTACTGCTCAATCTTCTGACGTCATTCGTGGTCCTGATAGGAGGAAATGACTCAGTAAAAAGTGGCTGACTTTCATTTGATTATTTTTTTGATTTTCACACAGTAGGCGCCTAACATCCCTGGCGACACGGATTAGGCTTTTACAGGATTTATGGTTGAAAAACCCAAGAGAACTGGAGGTCGGATTGCACTAAGGAATAGAAATATTTTGCGTCTGGTTGAACCCGAGAGGCTCCACAGAATGACCAAAATAGTTTCTCAGCCCTCACTTGAACTCTCGTTTACTGATACGTAGACAAAACCTGACTTCCCGCATAAGCGATTTTAAATGTGCAGCAAATATGTTCTCAAAAGGGGGACTGGGATATCGTATTCGCTCTGATTCTGATAGATTAATCAGAACACCTTTGTACTTTGAAAGAATTCACTCAGGAGAATGATGAACAGCACTTGTGCAAAAATAAATTCGAGTGAAACCTCACGTTCTCCTTTGTGTACGTGTCAGTCCTCTCCAGAAAGCCTAGAAGCAACGTACATCTTTTTATTCCTTGTTTGCAATCCCCAGAAGCACGTGTCTAACAAATCACGGGGGAGATTCAAAACCGGATCTCGGCTTTCCAGTATGGCTTGACTTTACTGATCGGATGAAATCTAGGTTGTTCTTTCGTGCCTGTTGGAATCTGTGTCTGAAACCAGTCGATGTAAAATTATGCACTGGCGACGCAGATGCGCAAGATACACAAACAAGTGGTTGACTACCAATTTGTCACAGGAAACAAACAGGAAAAACTACCGTTACATGGTACCATTGCTGTCTTTGTGAGAGGCGGATTCGTTTTATATTCTAGGAAACATTTCACTGCACTCTGTATTGAACTCTCCAAAGCATCATACAGAATTACAATGAGGGTGTGCCTCGAAGTCAGACAAGTTACTTATCAACATCCACCTGGCATTTCATTATCAAAAACCTAGGATGGACAACTTTGAAATGAGCGACTGACTACTGCTCACAGCCCCAGCACCTCTACAACAGTTGGTATCCAGGTTCGTCTGTTACACCAAACTAATGCCGCATGGGGTGAGCTGTGCTTGCAAACCGGACGACGATCTAAGGTCAAAGTGTGACACGACAAAGCTTGATATAGTGACCTGAGTACTGACAATATGCTGAAGGACTAGGGTCATAGTATATGGCAAAATCGATGTCGGAAGCCATGTTCCTTAGTAGCGTGACGTCATTATCTGATGAACAGCATCTTCTTTTCAGCTTACATTAATTTCTCAGTACGCAGACATTTTCGATCACCTTGAGGTATACTTTTGAGGACGTGATAGGAAGAGGACAGCGGTGTAGTGAATTTATTGACATTGTTCAGAAACGCAGTCAAATGGGACCCCTAGTAGTGTGGGGAGATTAGTAATATTGGTTAAACCGAAAAAAATCAGGTCTGTTTAATTCGCTGGCAATTAAGCAAAGACGACCGATCTAATTAAGTTATCCAGCATAATCAACCAGATCTGGGACTGGAGCGCGTTTGTGAAGACATCGATTAGTGATTACCTATAAAGTGGAGCTTGTATTCCACAGTTAAACAGCCGACATTCCTTCGGACACCAACTTGATACGAAAGCTGATGGGACTGATTGCACGGTTATTCAAAGGTAAAAAACATACAACTTACTTGTTTCTGCGTTTTCCCCAATACAGCAGATCATATAAGTGTGTAAACCATTCTTTTAATGACAAGATCAACGGAGGGAGCTGCATTCTATATGGAAACAATCCCACCACTCCCGTGTTTCCTATTCCATCCAACACGCTTAAGAAGTGCATGTGACGACGAGAGAACGCCAAGATTTTAAATAACTGACGCTGAAGGGAAATAGATTTACACAAAGAAAACCACTCACAAGGTTGCTGAAAACTCTTCGACAGCCCACAACCGGTTTCGCCCTTCTTAGGGCTCATCAGGTAGGCGCAGTTCCCGAGTTTCCGTCAACCTTATGTTCTACTTGAACCCAAATTGGACTGTTTTCGAGAAATACACTCATTTGCAAATCAATTTGGTTTTCACGACAGACTCAACTGAATCTCTCGTTTATGATTTAGCAGACAACGTATCCGCTAACATGGAGGAACACGGGATGCTCCGTTGTAAATTTGTAAAAGCTGTGGCCAGTTGAAAAAAAATTCCGCTGGGTTGTAAGAGCCGACGCAAATTTACTTTTGTATGATAACTTATAATTGGTGTAGAGGAAGCAATGCATCATTTATTCAAACCGAATTCGCACCAAGAATTTGACCATTCTTGACATCGCCCACGATGTTTACGAATGCAATAATCTACGAAAAATAGATGGAAGTCATCTTAAATTGAAAATCTCACTTTCAGTGGTGGAAACGGAAAACCGTGTCAAGCGTCGTGATAGAATGACGCACGGCACAAAGACATCTCATTCAACTCAATGACGGTCTGACCACTTTCATTCAGCGTCGCCCGATTTCGCTCCGAACCAGCAACAGATTTGCCTGAAATACTGATTCTTTTATTATTTCTTTATTTCAGGGATTTCTGTTTTTGTACACCGATGAAATTGCCAATACTTGGGACTGTATGGCGTGGGGCAATCCTTCTTAAATTGAAATAAAATACGTAAAATCACTCACCGACGTATGATTTCCAGTAGAACCTTCACTATCCTCTATTGCTTCAGATGGGACAAGCCAATATTCCGTTGCGGCTAACCCAGCGCTACGCATTCGAACTAGGCTGGGACTTGAGTATGGTCGCTATTCTCATGGAAGCCGAACGGGAGCATCGTTTGAGGGAGGCCGGAAGACCCGTGGTAAGTCACGTGCATAGCCATGCAATCGAACGTCCGCTAAGCCAATCACTGATGCCAAGGGGCAAATTGCTTCGGTATCCTGGTAAATTCGAATAAGATCCAAACTTTCTGTTGGTCGTTAAATGTTCAGGTGACATATCGAACGTTTGCAGTAGGATTCAGTGAATGTTACTATTACTAGGGTTCCTCAGCGAGTTTATCTGATGCCGGTTTCTGTTTACCAAAATCGTGAAAACAGCGACAGATCTTCATGAAACGACACGAACATTTTATAGCCACTTACAAAATGATAGAGGGAGCCCAAAGGAAGACGCTTTGTGCAGGATAGTGTTCCATCGGGCACACTGAGTTCAAATCACCTAACACTGCGAGCGCAATGTGCGTGCAACCCGTGAGTGCTCAGGCTTACTCTTATATCTGCTGTTTCGTCAATCTGTGGTATCTGCTGCTGACTCGCTCCAGTGCCTAATGCCGGGGAAAAAAGACCCACATAAGGGAACACAACCGCTATATTCCGAACGAACGAGTGCGAGAGCAAGAGTTACAACGGCCTCACACTATTTAAAGGGGACTTTCTGACATTGATCCAGGCTGTCTGATAGGCGTTAGTAAGCACCCATCAACATCGATCGTGCCTCTACAAGAGCACTCATCAGGTTTTGCTGAATTGATTGAATGATTGACTGGCCTGGATGCTTGCCGGCTTTCCTGTTGAGTCTTTGGTGGAGCAGTAGGTTCCGGGCGTTCTGAGGTTGCTTTCAGGAATCTGACCTTCCATCGGGCACACTGAGTTCAAATCACATAACACTGCGAGCACAAAGTGCGTGCAACCCGTGAGACATCAGGCCTACATTTCTGACTGTCAGTATCTGAAGTCAATCGAGCAATATGACGAACAGGAAACGCAAATGAACATAAAATCAGGCGGAATTATACAGCGGTACAGGTGCGCAGGAGTGTTACCTGGATCCTGTCAATAGTGGGGTACCACCTGAAGTCGTAATGCCACTTGTTTCAAACAGAAATCGAAATTAAATTGAACCAAGCCATTGTAAACCGTAAATATATGGTGAGGTCATAAGTAGATGAGTTAACTGGTGCATTTTCCTTCAACTGTATGCATAACCAAGTACTTCACTTTTTCTCCTTTTCAGGTATCCTTTATCGATGATATTCAATCACAACGGTACTTGAACTGTGATGGGATCAAAACAGGTTCAATCGAAGACTTTCTCATTGGTATTGGTCTTCCCATGTACATCGATCGCGTGAAACGCATGAGCGGTAGCCTTTCCAAGTCATCCCAACTGGAACAGTCAATTACTCCAGTGCAACTTTTGAAGATGTCCGACACGGAACTAATCAACGAAATAGGATTCACCAAAGGTCACCTGGACTGGCTTCGCCGAGAATCATCTGTGATCCCCTCAGTTCTACTATCTCAACTCAGATCTGGCTCCCATACACATCATAAGACGGGCCCATACATTAATAGTCTAACAAGGGAACATAAAAACACCATCCAGAGACATTCCAGCCGACATGCACAGAGACACCAGCATTTGCCACAGCAACGACATAATCAACAACAGAGACAAGGTTCACAAAGTCGCGAGATGAGGAAGGACCACTTTTAACTCAATCCTATCCGAATACCGTTATATTTCAAGAGCTTTTGGAAATCGCTCGGATTTCAGCGAATTTCATCATGTGGCTATTGTCCGAAATCCAAATGTGTCACTGATCTCGATACGACACCACTTATAAGCTACTAAGAGTTTTACAAGTAGCACAAGTTTACACGTACACCTATTGCGAAAAACCATCCCGTTTCTAGTGCTGTGCTACTTCACGCTGCAAGACAATGTCAGTGGACGATGAGTCATAAGCAATTGGGCGAATAAATCGCACGAAACGAAAACTGATTACAGAAAGCAGAATGTCGGGAGCAAGAGCAGTGCAACCCTGAGTAATCCAGAGGTCACGACTAAGGCGACCAGAGTGGTTGGACAAATGTCAGCGATCTATAGCTTGAGTTTTGCGCTAGTACCCTTGGAGAATATTCGTATGTAGTCCACTTGTTGGTAGCCCAACTAAACAAGACCCCATGGAAACTGAAATTCATTTGGCGTCTGGGTCTATGGACGGATGTGCTGTGCAGATGACTGTCCGTCACGTGACAATAAAACACCCCCCAGTAGGAAGTTAGGTGGCTTGAAGAGAAGCACCGCAAAGTGCAATGTTCCTTTTGAAGGGAGTTACTGTAATCAATTGCTCATCACAGGGATTGCTCTACTAGGGACAAATTGGCAATGCAGCTGCACATTCGAGTAAATGTAGAAGAAATGGATACCTTGGTGATAGAAATAAATAACAGACTACCGAACGTGAACACCAAGTCGAGTCACTGGGAGTGAGCAGTATACCAAGGGTGAACTTTCGGCAAAGGAAGTTACGGTGATCAAGCAGTCACGCTTGAACTCTAAAATGGGAAGAAAGAGTGCTTTTTATATAGGTCGGTGGGTTCTGTATCTGTGAGAGGTGACAACATTGGAACTGTTGGCATAAAGTACCTTTACCCTATTGACGAAACAGATATAGGCCTCAGTCTGAGTGAGTGATAAGCAACTTATCGGGCTCTGGTGCTTCAGAATAAACCTTATTCCCACGTAAAGTAGTACTCCCCCATTCTCTGAGATAGAACACCTCAGTGAGACCTAATTCTCCAATTCCCTCTAGGAGCAAACACTTTTTGGGGCGAACGGTAGGTTATTTACGAAGAATACTAATTTCACAGTACTTTCAGGTTTGATGTCAAAGTTGAACGCTTGGAAATTTACCCGTCTCAGAACTGTGTCCATCATAATCGTTCATCGAGGCTTGATTGCCGGAACCAACTAAGAACGAGATCACACCAGATGCCGGCTAGAAGGTGTTGGTCCATTTAGGCAGTCAGGAGGGAAATTGTCGTGGCGTGACTGCCACGTGGCGTCATGGAGTGCCGTTGGTATGAACACCACCAAAGCGCACAGTGCACTATGGGGGAAAAACTGGCTGCTCCGTTAGGGGTTTCCAGCTGTCGCTGACATATTCAGTGACGTGGTCAAGACTCTAGAACCAAGGGAGACCTCCAACACGTGAAGCTCTGGGGGCGGCCGAACGGATGTTGCGTATGCCATCCTAAGCAAGGCGGGTCACAACACAAACGTTCATTAGCAAAACTTTTTTTCGGGTACATAGCTGTCAACGTTTAAGATAGTACTAGATTGCCCAAACCTAAGCAGTGGGCCGGGGAAGGTTGGATCCGTTTCTGTGGTTACCATAAAACATGACGTCATGCCTTGGTGTTCGTTCTGTCGATGTTCACACAAGAGTCGACAGATAATATGCCATCTCATTGGTTTTCACGGCGAGAAAACGCGATTGGTTGACTGTTGTGAACCCTAGTTTTCTTGAAAACTTCTGAATACCGTGGACCCGAGTCTAGATATCCACTTGATAGCCTGATGCACCTAGCCCAATCAGAAGGCCACTGGACATACGAATCAGCTGATCTATCGAAAATCGATGCGTAAGGCGTGTCATGTACAGCCGGAAGACGGCTGCTTGTAAAGATCATGTGGAAGGTTCTGCAAAAAAAAATCATACCTGTCAAGGACAACTGAAGGACGATCAAGTCTGCTTCGTTGGCAGTTTTGTGGTCCAGTTACGTCTGGAGCTGCTTCTCCCAATACTGACGTATCTGAACAAGCGGCGGAAGACAGATTAAGTGCAACGCTCATGTGTCACTTGAGCCATAGCATTCCAGCCTGGCATTTGAAACACCACAACCAGCCCTGAAGGCCGCACCGGACCAATCAAGTCAAGGACGCCAGTTTTTTTCAGCGTGACAGTGACGAGTGATCTTCTGGAAAAGAAAATGAACGGATCTGCTGATGGAGCTGGCGTTTGTAAGCCGCCAGTTAGGGAATACAGGTTTCGGCATCTGCACAACTCCTTGGCAGACGTCTGTAGAGGTTTCCGTTCAGCTGGCTTGGTCTCAATCCAGTCGTTTGTGAAGGGTCTGGAGCACCGAACAACATCAGTTTGGTTACTTTTTCCGCACACAGCCTACAAAAAATTTTGTGCTGAAGGGCGGATCTAGCAATGCAGTGCTGATGAGAAGCTGTTACAAGAAATGTGGGTAGATGCAGGAGACCAAAGTGTTTCAATGTGAATACGGCGAAGCAGAAACCCATAAGACAGCCTGGATGGCGGAGGGTTTATTAGAGAAATGGCTTCATCAGTTCAACAAAGTGATTCAACAAGAGTTTTGATGATACTGGATAACTGTACTGTTTGTCTGCCAATTCAGCTTACGAACATTCCATCTCCAAACACGTTTTCCATCACTAGGTATAGTCATTGGACGCCACTGTGCGAATCCATAGAGCCTGAACCAATCCGTCTGGTGTCTACAAATGTTTTTTTGAGTGATGCTGACCGGACTCTGTAGTCCTGTTGTCAAGACTACGGATTTATGACCATATTCGATGGGTATGACACTCGTTTTGCTAGATCACCATTTTACTTTCGTGGTCTTCCCACGATAGGGTTAAAATTACAGAGAGGATGCCGACAAAGATAAGCTTCCAACAACATTGGGTGTTGCAATGTACACCATTTCTGTGGCTTAAGAATTCGCAATACGGCCTCCAAGACGAGGAAAGTGTTCAAAAGAGAGTGAATGTCACAAGAATCGAAGCAAAGAAGCAGATGTTCTGGGACTTTTTTACTTTTATGTTTTAATACTATATATCTAGTTAATTTATGTAACTTCATCAGGCTACTCTCCCCCTCCCAACCTTGAGGAGCGAATCTACTCTCGAAGTGGATGGTTTTCAACTCCCCCGAAATTGCACACCTCGGAAGGATTACTGCTGCTCATTGTGCCAGTTTTTGTACCGAAAGTGTCGTTGAGAACGAGACAGCAGGTCTCAATGTCGCCTATCTGGAATCCTTTGAATTAATTCGTCACGATATCTGGGGAAACTGACGGGTAGAGATTGTTCCTGAGAACACTTGACGATCATTGCTTCTGAACGTAAATTTCATCTACACACTCATCTCTGCCCAGTGAAGACGAGACAAGAGGTCGACTCACTATCACTGATTTGATTAGTGCTTCAACAGAAATGTATGGAAGAGTGGTTCTCAATTCCGGGTTGGATTGCACGCTCATAAACAAGCACGGAATTTGAGCCAAACTGGTCTAGATACATGGATTCTCAGATCATGGCCGAAATCTTCAACTGGGCCAGATATGAAGTTTTTTGGGCGCAGATATTGGTGCACAAAAGCACACTGATGCTACTAGAGAAGGACATGGATGGGTAGTTCAATGGTTCACAGTCAAAGGGATGTGAAGACTCTTGGTGGGGAAAGCTATCGATCAAACGGTGGTCGGCTATTCGAGCTCAATGTTGCTCAATCAAGCGGAAAGTGCTGTAGTAGGTTCATCCTTATGAACAACCAACCACACGCACTGATCCCATTAGTCATGGCATTCCCCGATACATAAACGCTATTGAGCGCATCGAATCGGTGCTAGGAGGGCGGCTTTATGAAAATCATAATAGCGGTTTTACAGATTTTGTGGGCTCCAACGACCAGTCTCAGTTCAGAGCACTGGTTCCAAACTGCAGCATAAGAACGAATTTGGAGATCTACACATAACACTGCCAATGCGCCTCGCAAAACAGAAGGAAATAGGATACACAGGAAATAATGTGAGGACAGAGCCAACAAGAGTTGTGATTGTGAGTGTAGAGAAAAAACTAGAGGAAACAGAGTGAACAGTAAAGTTGATAAGGACTATCCATAAGGTCAAGTGGACTGGTGATACAGGATCATACATCAAAGGTGTAGACCAAAACTCAAAAGTGACGATAGAACCTGGTGAAATTCGAGTGCTTGGCGCTCATTCATGTGCGCTTAGATAGCTTACGAGTGTATGCTCGGCCAAACGATCAGAGTGATAGATAACTCAAAGTTGGAAGCTGAAGAGAAGGATAGTGGCCATTTTTATGTAGAAGACAGCTTCGCCAATTGGAAAAAGGAAATGCAGCGTCTGTTCGGAATGAAGTCAATTAGAGGGTCATGACTGACGCTAAAGTAGACTCGATGAGGCAGTGGCGTTTGTTCAAAAAAGTCCCTCCTAGAGGACAGGTGTATCACAACGGTAACAAACTAGCAAAGAGACCATGGGCAAAAACTTCAACCCTTGTGAGTTTGGACACGATCGGCCAATCAATCCTCTGCACCGATCCATTAACGTAAAATCCTATGTACAGGGTCACTCACTCTTCAAAGAAAGCCAAAAACTCTTCCGGTGATGTTCTATCTTCGGAGCGACCAAAACCAACACTTGGGTCAATTCAACATCATGCCTGAGATCATACGAAAGACGAACGATTTAGCCCTATCCGTATCAAAAACGCCCGAAGTGATCGCTCCATGTACGAAAGGCCCTCACTACGAAACATGATATCTCCCAAAGAAAGTTCCTTTTTTCCAAAGATTAAAATGCACACTGAATGAAAAGTAGGTGTACTAAGCGAAAGGTTTTGTACAAATTGTCTCAGAAGGGTATCATCTCCGACAAAGTACTACTGTACATCTAAATCATATCTTTTTCGATACTCCTTCAGTTGCTTCAGCAACGTCTGAGGAGCATGGAGGAGAGAGGCGACTTTGCTCACCTCGTCTGCATACGTCTTAGCCGCTGTCACCTGTCCGTCTTGGGCTTCCAGGGCTACACGCTGAAGGAGAATATGGGCCAGACAAGACTGAACCCCATCTACGTCGGTGGAGTCCTGAGTGAGTCTGACACGGACAAGCTTCTCTGCGCGCTCCAGACAAGCTCTTGCCTCGGAAAACTTGTTAAGATCAATCAAAAGCACAGAGACATCACACAACAGATGGAGACAGTTGAAATGGTCGTCTGCATAGAGCTTGTTGGCCAACTCAAGAGCTTTCTTGGCGTGTTCAAGTGCTTTCTCGCTCTCTCCGTTTTCGAATAAGAATCTGCAAGGAAACAGAGACGACAAAACTGACAAAGGACTGAAATCGGAAAAGGTTGAAAAACACAGAGTATCATGAGTCACAGTTTTTGGTTAGTTAGCTGTTACAGCTAGTTACACTGGTTAGGACATGTACTGCGTCTGCCTGGCAGATCTCTTTTCGCCCAGCCCTGTGTTGAGTGGAAGCGACCGATAGATGGACAGTGTATGACCTGGAAACGAAGCATGAAAACACTAACCACTAAACTTAGTCGGGTCAACAACCGCCACCTCCTTGGATGAGGACCCCGAGACTCAACGTACCAATGGTTAATGACGCGGGGAGAAATAGCCCAATCGCGCAGTCAGTGGTGCCTGTGCATCAAAGCTCTCGTCTTCAATGCGTAGCTACCCAATTCCCAAACTACCAACTGAGCTATTCGTGACTCTCGTGAGACTTATGCACTTAAACCGCACAAAAACAAATAAAGACCATTTTGTGAGGAGTCCATAATGAACCAGACGTTGGAGTTGTCCAACCAAAGGAAGTTGGGGAAACATGACGGGAAAAAGGTAGGGAACCCGCGAAACACACTCACTTGCACGCTAGTTTGACTTTGATGGGAGACTTAATCGAATCCAACTGAATCTCTCGTTTATGAATGTGCTGCACAAGGTCACCTCATGTCTTAGTTGATGCGACATTCGATACATAGCAAAACACCATCTAGATAGCAAACTTATGAGTAGTGCTTCAATGGTGGTATGCGGAGGTCAAGCATGCATAGTATAGGTGAAAGAAACATGTTTAGGGGGTGAACCCTAGTTTACTACTTACTTTGAGTAGTAGTTATGACACATACCCAGCAAAGCTTGTTCATTGCTTCGTTGATCTGCATCCTCTATGTTGCCGGAGGCAAATCTGTTCTCTTGAGTTTCGATGCAGTACAGAAACCCGGAAGCGGCCTCTTCCAATCGCGACATCTTTTGGTAGACCAAGGCTAATTTCAAAGACAACTCCACAACCATGGCGTCATCGGTAGGTATGCCGGCCGCTGTCACATTGCGAATGACCTCTTTGAAGAGCTTCTCGGCCGTTGAAAGTTTGCCTAAAGCCAAATTCACATTTGCCAGTTCCGCAGACACGCGAGACCGTTGGTGAAGGTATTCCAAATCGCTTATCAAGCGTTTAAAGTAGGCTACCCGCAAGTGACGTATTAACTTGTTGAGTGTACGCTCCGCACTCACAAAGTCTGACGCCCAAGCAGAGCGAAGTGCATTGTTGAAGAGCTCTTTGGTTTCTGCTTCAACATCGTCTTTATTCTTGGTGTTTATGACAGGCCAGGAGATGGCAGTAATGAGAGGGAGAATAGGAGAGGCAAGATAGTTGTTACTTGTCCGACTGGATTGGGCCGCAGTGGTGGGCGTTTCAAAGGAACTTCCCTCGGGATACTTTCCAAACCAAACAGTGCGCGAACCAGTGAACCCAAACCGGAAGCTACACAAGGAGGAATGAGCGGAAAGGAGGTGAAAAGATGAGCAAGATATCGATCACCAGCTACTTTGTAACTATTTAGAGGTTATTAGCATGATGGCTCAATGGGGATTCAGTAGGCCCGAAGCTCCACCAACCCTATTTCCTTGCTGAACGCCAAGGGCGACATCCATGGTTGGCTATCCAGCATTTTCAGTTAGAAGACAGTATGAAGGAGATAATTAGTTACGCTTCTTGCCAAGACCGGATAAATAAGCGAACTAATGTTTATCCAAACCAGTGTTCTATAGACAAGCACTGTATTGACAGCGAGGTGTTTGTCGGACAGAATACGTAGACACGATCCAAGCTCTGAGTTGGAGACTCGTTTATCTACAAATGCGTCGCATCCAGTGTAAACCAGCAAAATCACAAACAAATAAGCAACTGCCCAATTCACACGCAGAATAACTCTAAAGTGGTTCCCAAAGGCACGATTGGATCTTGTCGGTCATCAGTGCACACACAAGGTCAGAGTTTAACCACCATGGTCTACCTAAATCCCCCTGTACATAAGCTGCCATATGTGGGATACATAAGAGAAGTGTAGCTGTACACATGAGCATCAAGATTTGACGGCAGAGTAACACTTGTGTCTTACAAGTCTAATGAAGGTATCCAGTTCATCCTCAGGTACTAAGCAGTGACAAAAAGATAGATGGACTGGACGGATGGTCAGGCTTAAAAAGTGGCTCATTCATTGCACATGGTACTCTTCTAAAGCCCCGTCTATTGCTTCGTGTTTTATATGCTGAGAGAAAATGAATGATCGAAAATCGGTCGGGCTGGATTTGCATGACCTTCGACAGGAAGAGCACTTGGGAATAGTAGGAACAGTGAAACAAATCGAACAGACTAGTTCCTCAAATAAGACATTTCGAAAACAGCAACTCAAATCACGCACACTGCAGTAGTCCTTCTAGAAAATGTTTGCTTTTCTGGGTAAGAAAGTAGTCTTTCTGCGGCGAACCATAAAAAATAAGTTGGAGCATTCAGTTCGTTCCTAAAGGTCGAGAATATCAGACAAATGAGTCCCTAAGTTACGCATTCTAATAGAACAAAGAAATTAGTTCACAAGGAACAACGCCCAGGAGGGAACATTTTCGATTATGCAACCCATGGGTGATAGGAGGCTCCCCTGTAATGAACAACTGTCCTTAGTCCGCTTCTAGAACCGCGTGTCAATGGAGTACCCATAAGCGTAGTTCATATTCTATCACCAATCGGCAAATGTGTGCAACAAGTTCACAAAAGGAACAGATAACCAGTTGGCACCAAACAAAGTAGATATCTGCACGGTTATGCAATTCGTCCATTCTGAAATTATCTCCAATCAACACATCAGTAACTTAGAATGCTACCGGGCTATTTCATAGAAGCAGGTTCGTTACCAGTGAGTAAGTAACCAGACTTGTGTAGTTCAGTGAAGAGCTAACAGCTAGACTACTGAGATTAGATTGTCTTTCCGAACTCGCCCAAACCATGCACGCGTATGTTCATACTCCTATTTCATATGGCACTATAATAAAATATGGCACAAAGGTGTCAGTATACTGAAACGGTCCACATTCACCCATTGTAAATCGATGACACTCGCCCGGCAAGGAATGCCCCGGAAGTTCGTGAACATAATAATAAGCTCTTTGTATTCCCAAGCTTCCGGATGTATGAGTGTATACGGCGAGCTCTCCAAAAGCTTCCGAACACAAACTAGTGTCTGTCAGGGATACACACTCTCCTCATTCCTGTTTAACTTTGTGATCGATAAAATCATGAAACGAACGCTGGAGGGTCTCCGAAACCTCGGTGTTCAAATAGCCTGTGAAGAAAACCTTGTCGATCTGGAGTGCGCAGACGACATCATTCTCATCTTCGAAGAGGAGGAGAAGGCGCAACTGTTTTTGGATGATCTGACCAAAGTAATTCTATCCTTTGATGTGTACCCTCAAAGTGTAGGGTCGTGCTCCTGCACATGCAGGAGCCATTTACAATCCAGGGGAAAGCACTCGAAGTTGTGGAGCGTTTTACGCATCTTGGAGTGACAGATGACGTGAATACAAGAATCTGCAAGGTTATTAGAAGATTGGTTAACATGGCGAACATTCGAGTAGCTTTCCAGAAGAGGAAAATGCTACGCTCAGTTTTGGTGCAATTGAAAGGTCTCCTCTCGGTTGACAGGACTAGGGACTATCTGTATAAATTTAACTGAAACGACAGCACTAAGGTTCATATAGGATAAAGTGCCAGGGAATTGCGCACGAACCATAAAAAATAAGTTGGAGCATTCAGTTCGTTCCTAAAGGTCGAGAATATCAGACAAATGAGTCCCTAAGTTACGCATTCTAATAGAACAAAGAAATTAGTTCACAAGGAACAACGCCCAGGAGGGAACATTTTCGATTATGCAACCCATGGGTGATAGGAGGCTCCCCTTTAATGAATAACTGTCCTTAGTCCGCTTCTAGAACCGCGTGTCAATGGAGTACCCATAAGCGTAGTTCATATTCTATCACCAATCGGCAAATGTGTGCAACAAGTTCACAAAAGGAACAGATAACCAGTTGGCACCAAACAAAGTAGATATCTGCACGGTTATGCAATTCGTCCATTCTGAAATTATCTCCAATCAACACATCAGTAACTTAGAATGCTACCGGGCTATTTCATAGAAGCAGGTTCGTTACCAGTGAGTAAGTAACCAGACTTGTGTAGTTCAGTGAAGAGCTAACAGCTAGACTGCTGGGACTAGATTGTTTTTCCGAACTCGCCCAAACCATGCACGCGTACGTTCATACTCCTATTTCATGTGGCACTATAATAAAATATGGCACAAAGGTGTCAGTATACTGAAACGGTCCACATTCACCCATTGTAAATCGATGACACTCGCCCGGCAAGGAATGCCCCGGAAGTTCGTGAACATAATAATAAGCTCTTTGTATTCCCAAGCTTCCGGATGTATGAGTGTATACGGCGAGCTCTCCAAAAGCTTCCGAACACAAACTAGTGTCTGTCAGGGATACACACTCTCCTCATTCCTGTTTAACTTTGTGATCGATAAAATCATGAAACGAACGCTGGAGGGTCTCCGAAACCTCGGTGTTCAAATAGCCTGTGAAGAAAACCTTGTCGATCTGGAGTGCGCAGACGACATCATTCTCATCTTCGAAGAGGAGGAGAAGGCGCAACTGTTTTTGGATGATCTGACCAAAGTAATTCTATCCTTTGATGTGTACCCTCAAAGTGTAGGGTCGTGCTCCTGCACATGCAGTTACTAAACACGCCATTTACAATCCAGGGGAAAGCACTCGAAGTTGTGGAGCGTTTTACGCATCTTGGAGTGACAGATGACGTGAATACAAGAATCTGCAAGGTTATTAGAAGATTGGTTAACATGGCGAACATTCGAGTAGCTTTCCAGAAGAGGAAAATGCTACGCTCAGTTTTGGTGCAATTGAAAGGTCTCCTCTCGGTTGACAGGACTAGGGACTATCTGTATAAATTTAACTGAAACGACAGCACTAAGGTTCATATAGGATAAAGTGCCAGGGAATTGCGCACCGGAATTGGTGAGCATAAAAGGAGGATAAACAAACCACCGATCGCTGGTCAAGGCCTCAGCGATGGTGGTGCATGCGTTGGACACAAGACATATAATAAAACTGGAGAATGTGGGAGCTTTCAAGACGGCGACTGCGATTCACACTAAAGCGGTTGATAGCCGAGGCAGTGGACCACGTGAACCGAACCAGAAGAACCAGACCCTAGGCTGGACCCAAACCCACGTAGGTTCCCCCATCGGCCTAACATTGGTCACCCACCCTTACACACAAAACCACCAAGCCGGCACTTAACATAGACTTAGCTTTACTTGGCTGATTGACTCACCTTCTGCTTCGTAACCTAGTCACTTGGTCTGACGAAGCTTGTGTCAAAAGCAAAACGTTGCCCAGCAATGAATCTACCGATTGTTGGCTAACCTTTCCGAAAATGATGGCTGCTCAACGGTTTCAAGCGTTTTTCACCTAAATGAAAATACTTAGTTCAAACCTTGGAATGACTGTTGATCCATGCAAAGTTATCCCCTATCACGTGATTATCAGGTGGAACTCGACGGGAACCGCAAAAGACCAATTGACTTCGGAGGTTTCCCTCATTGATTGTTCTCCCTAGACGTACTGTAAAACAGAAACCGTAACCTCAGTACTACTTACAAGATCCTACGAAGTCCTGGATAACTGACTGCCAGTAACATGCTTCTTTGGGCCCATTAAGCACTCCCAGTCCCGATAGTATATCTTGATATGTTGCTACATTGAACGTTAATACAAACTCTTCGGGAACAGACTAACATGGTTGCGGACATATCAGTGGAAAATATGGAAAGCAAGAGGAAATTTACATGACGCCATGAACTAAATTGTACACCATTAGAACCGTTGCATTAATGATGATTCCCATCATCTTCAACCGTGTACAAATTACGGGGTGATCATGGCTGTCTGTCTCGTTCGCCGACGAGAGAAGTTAAGATTCCCTGCGTCAACTGCGCAGCTCACCTTGTGTTTCTCTTCTTGGATGCCATGAGGTTGCTGCGTATCAATTATACACTTTGAGATGTCCGATAGTAAGGTGTTCATCTTGTGTACGTAGTCTACTCGGCCCACAACCGCTGCTGCTACCTGGTGGCACAAACTTTCGGCAGGTTGGTAAGTTGTACTGTGATAAATCAAGCTTGCTCTACCGGGATTCACTGGTCCCGATGACAGGCCCATCGCTAGG